CAAATCCGAATTATATAAATTCGGATTAATCCCGTAGTGTAGACATACCCTAAGTCTTAAAGGTGCCCCAGGACTTGCTTTTTACAGGTCCAGACTAACACGGCTACTCCTCTGATACTTGTTTGGTTTATCAATTTGTTCTAAAACCATCTCTACTGACACATCAATCTGGGACGGTTCCTCAGATTTATCACCTACAAAGAATGGCTCAAGTTTGGGAATCTCCCTCAGATATATTCTATAAAAATTCCAAGCCCAGCTTGGTCCTTGCCCAGAGCATGGAGTTTAGCAGCCCGGAGAGCCCTGGCTTCCGTCAGGCTTCCTAAGACTACTGCTGTGGAGTAGGGAGTCTGCCAGGGCTCTGGGGCTCGGCAAGCTCTTTGCTGCAGAGCCCTGGCTCCAGCCAGAGACGCTGGGGGCTACTAGGCTCCCTGTGGGGAGGCAGCTGCCCTTGCAAGACTGGCAGGTTTCCAACATAAACTTGCTTGTGTTTTGGCAAGAGTGTTGTTGACTCTGCATTAAATTAGGCGAAGAAGCGCTTGGAGTAGCTGCAAAGCTTCCCTCCCTCACCGACAGACCTTGGGCTAATAAAAGTGATTCCCTCACCCACCTGCTCTCTTGTAAATTAGGTGATGAAACGTTTTGCTCCAGCAAATCAGCCTTTTCCCGCCGAACGGACTGGATCTGACGGGCGGGGAAACAAAGGGCTGCACTTCAAATCCCCAGCATCCCGCCCACTGAGTACGGACGCCTGGGCCGTTGGTCGGCTTGGCCGGCTGAGAGGGGAGTGTGGGGCTGGCCCGGCCAGCGCAGCGCTAGGAACCCGGGCCAGGCCGCTCTCACTGGCCAGGCTGGCACGTGCTGTCTCTGCCAGGGTTGCTGAGCTCGCCAGGCTGGGAGCGTGGCCGGCAACCCCGAGCGAGCCAGGGTGTCAGACAGCGCTGCTCGCCTCGTCCCTCATCGAGGCCCAAGCTGGGCTGCTGCGGCCTTTCCTCGAGCCTGGTCAGGGGCGGGCCCGCGCGGTCTCTCAGGCGGCCGCTCGAATGCCCCGCTCCTGCGCATGCGCCATGCTGCTGTCAGCCATGGCAGCGCTACGACTCTTGCCCCGGCTCCTGCGGGTCTCGCGGACGCGGCTGGTCCGGTCTCGCTCGGCCGGCGCCCCCGGCTCCGTGCCCGAGCGCATCGCCGAGAAGCGTCGCGCCGCGCTGCTGGGGGGCGGTCAGGCCCGCATCGATGCGCAACACAAACGGGTGAGCAGCTCCGCCGGCCTGGCCTCCCCCCGCCTGTCCCTGATCCCCGCCGGTACCCCTGGTCCTGACACCAGCCCCACCCTGCCATCACCCCCTTCCCCGCGCCAGACTCTCATCCCGCCCCTCCCCCCCCACCCGTGCCTGACCCTGATCCGCGCCGGTACCCCGGCCCTGACACTAGTCCCCCCCCTCTCCCCGCCGCCAACATCGCCCCTCCCTTCCCCGTGCCTGACCTTGGTCCCCAATAGGGTGACCACACAGCAAGTTTAAAAATTGGGACAGGTGTGGGGAGTAATAGGTGCCCATATAGTACAAAGCCCTGAATATCATGACTGTCCCTATAAAATTGGGATATCTGGTCACTCTGATCCCCGGCGATACCCCCTGGCCCTGACACCAGCCCCCCTGCCAACACCAGCCCCCCTGCCAACACCGCCCCCGATCCTGTACCTATTCCTCCCACCCACCGCCAGCACCTGACCATAATCCCTGACAATACTCCCTGGTCCCTGACACCAGCCTTCCTCTCCAGCCCCTGATTCTGGCTTCCCCTTCTGGACCCTGAGAACAACCCCACTCTCATATCCCCCTGGCTTCCCCTGACACCAACCCTTTTCTCCCCCAATCTGGTCCCTGACACTAGCCCACCCCGAGGCTGCTTCCCTTCCACCAGCCCCTGACACCACCAACCCCTGAGACTGATTTGCCCTCAATTCCTTCCCGGTCCCCTGACCTTATCCCCCACTGCCTCTCCCTGACACTGACACCCCACCCCCGCCAGTACAGACACTGACACCCCTGCAGCCATCTCCTGATGGCTGTGACCCCTCCCTGCACTGATTCCACCCCCAGCCAGGCAACCAGCCCTGACCTTCTCTGGGACCAATGACCTGTCCCTGTATGACTTAAACCCCCTATCCCCAGCTTGGCAGTGTCCCCATGGGGCTGGCACCCCATCCCTGCCAATGGGGTCTGGGTGATTGACTCTCTCTTAGAAGGATGGTCTATTGGGGGACAGGTCTCCACTTGCTCTCACTGGAAGAGGTGCTAACAGGGGGCTGAGTTCTCAATGGACTCCCTGCCATTATGTCCCCAACCCACGTTTTTATTAAAGAATTGTAGCAGCACTCTCTCCAAACATAAGACTGCAGAGGTCAATGTAGAAAGCCTAGTGGCATATAACACTGGTCTACAATTTTTGAGAAGTCGTCTGCTTCAGAGGTAAAATGTGCTATTTATTATGTATTTTGATGTGCTGAATTCAAATATGACAATTAAAACAACTGATTGGCTATTGTTTCTAAGATATTTAAGTTTTTACATTTTATGTCTATGTATATTGTGTAGATAGTAGCGTTTTAATCATAAATTGTAAACCTAGGTCTTTTCATGTGTTTATGGTTGCTTTACATGATAATATTTCACCTGCCATGAGATTCCACTGCTGTAGTCTGGAGCCCAACAGCTCTGCCTTACTCTTGGGTAGTTCCAAATCCCTGACA